CTAGGCCCACCCCAAGGTAGACTTGCCCCTATGAAGAGGCAGTGTAACACAGAGCCCTGTGACTAGTCCCACCCCTAGGTAGACTTACCCCTATGAAGAGTCAGTGTAATAGAGAACCCTGTGACTATGCCTACTGCAAGGTAGACTTGCCCCTATGATGAGGCAGTGTAATAGAGAGCTCTGTGACTAGGCCCACCCCAAGGTAGACTTGCTCCTGTGAAGAGGCAGTGTAAAAGAGAGATCTGTGACTAGGCCCACCCCTAGGTAGAGTTACCCTTATGAAGAGGCAGTGTAATAGAGAGCCCTGTGACTCTGCCTACTGCAAGGTAGACTTGCCCCTATGAAGAGGCAGTGTAATAGAGAGATCTGTGACTAAGCCCACCCCAAGTTAGACTTTCCCCTAGGAAGAGGCAGTGTAATAGAGAGCTCTGTGACTAGGCACACCCCAAGTTAGACTTGCTCCTATGAAGAGTCAGTGTAAAAGAGAGATCTGTGACTAGGCCCACCCCTAGGTAGACTTACCCTTATGAAGAGGCAGTGTAATAGAGAGCCCTGTGACTATGCCCACTGCAAAGTAGACTTGCCCCTATGAAGAGGCTGTGTAATAGAGAGATCTGTGACTAGGCCCACCCCAAGTTAGACTTTCCCCTAGGAAGAGGCAGTGTAATAGAGAGCTGTGTGACTAGGCACACCCCAAGTTAGACTTGCCCCTATGAAGAGGCAGTGTAATAGAGAGGTCTCTGACTAGGCCCACCCCGAGGTAGACTTGCCCCTGTGAAGAGGCAGAGTAATAGAGAGCTCGGTGATGTAACAGAGAGCTCTGTGACTAGTCCCACCGGAAGGTATACTTGCCCCTATGAAGAGGCAGTGTAACAGAGAGCTCTGTGACTAGGCCCACCCCAAGGTAGAGTTGCCCCTATGAAGAGGCAGTATAATAGAGAGCCCTGTGACTAGGCCCACCCGAAGGTAGACTTGCCAGTATGAAGAGGCAGTGTAATAGAGAGCTCTGTGACTATGCCCACCGGAAGGTATACTTTCCCCTAGGAAGAGGCAGTGTAATAGAGAGCCCTGTGACTAGGCCCACCCCAAGGTAGACTTGCCCGTATGAAGAGGCAGTGAGTGTAACAGAGAGCTCTGTGACTAGGCCCACCCCAAGGTAGACTTGCCCCTATTAAGAGGCAGTGTAACACAGAGCCCTGTGACTAGGCACACCCCAAGTTAGACTTGCCCCTATGAAGAGGCAGTATAATAGAGAGGTCTGTGATTAGGCCCACCCTGGGGTAGACTTGCCTCTGTGAAGAGGCAGAGTAATAGAGAGCTCGGTGATGTAACAGCAACCTCTGTGACTAGTCCCACGCCAAGGTAGACTTGCCCCTATGAAGAGGCAGTGTAACAGAGAGCTCTGTGACTAGGCCCACCCCAAGGTAGACTTGCCCCTATGAAGAGGCAGTGTAACAGAGAGCTCTGTGACTAGGCCCACCCCAAGGCAAACTTGCCCCTATGAAGAGGCAGTGTAAGAGAGAGCTCTGTGACTAGGCCCACCCCAAGGTAGACTTGCCCCTATGAAGAGGCAGTGTAACAGAGAGCTCTGTGACTAGGCCCACCCCAAGGTAGACTTACCCCTATGAAGAGGCAGTGTAATAGAGAGCCCTGTGACTATGCCCACTGCAAAGTAGACTTGCCCCTATGAAGAGGCTGTGTAATAGAGAGCTCTGTGACTAGGCCCACCCCAAGTTAGACTTTCCCCTAGGAAGAGTCAGTGTAATAAAGAGCTCTGTGATTATTCACACCCCAAGTTAGACTTGCCTCTATGAAGAGGCAGTGTAATAGAGAGGTCTGTGACTAAGCCCACCCCGAGGTAGACTTGCCCCTGTGAAGAAGCAGAATAATAGAGAGCTCGGTGATGTAACAGAGAGCTCTGTGTCTAGTCCCACCCCAAGGTAGACTTGCCCCTATGAAGAGGCCGTGTAACAGAGAGCTCTCTGACTAGGCCCTCCCCAAGGTAGACTTGCCCCTATGAAGAGGCAGTGTAAGAGAGAGCTCTGTGATTAGGCCCACCCCAAGGTAGACTTGCCCCTATGAAGAGGCAGTGTAATAGAGAGCGCTGTAACTATGCCCACCGCAAGGTAGAGTTGCCCTTATGGAGAGGCAGTGTAACAGAGAGCTCTGTGACTAGGCCCACCCCAAGGTAGACTTGCCCCTATGAAGAAGCAGTGTAATAGAGAGCTCTGCGATGTAACAGAGAGCTCTGTGACTAGGCCTACCCCAAGTTATCCTTGCCCCTATGAAGAAGTAATATAACAGAGAGCTGTGTCACTAGGCCCACCCCTAGGTAGACTTGCCCCTGTGAAGAGGCAGTGTAACAGAGAGCTCTCTGACTAGGCCCACCCCAAGGTAGACTTGCCCCTATGAAGAGGCAGTGTAACAGCGAGCTCTCTGACTAGGCCCACCCCAAGGTAGACTTGCCCCCGTGAAGAGGCAGTCTAACAGAGAGCTCTGTGATTAGGCCCACCCCATGGTAGACTTGCCCCTATGCAGAGGCAGTGTAACAGAGAGCTCTGTGACTATGCACACCCCAAGGTAGACTTTCCCGTATGAAGAGGCAGTGTAACAGAGAGCTCTCTGACTAGGCCCACCCCAAGATAGACTTGCACCTATGAAGAGGCAGTGTAATAGAGGGCTCTGT